CTATGGCATGTCTGTAGCTATGTACAGTCGTGGTCAAAAGTTTTGAGAATGACACAAGTATTGGTCTTCACAAAGTTTTGCTGCTTCAGTGTTTTTAGATATTTTTGTCAGATGTTACTATGGTATACTGAAGTATAATTACAAGCATTCCATAAGTGTCAAAGGCTTTTACTGACAATTAAAAATATTGACAAGAGTCAATATTTGCAGTGTTGACCCTTCTTTTTCAAGACCTCTGCAATCCGCCTTGGCATGCTGTCAATTAACTTCTGGGCCACATCCTGACTGAAGGCAGCCCATTCTTGCATAATCAATGCTTGGCGTTTGTCAGAATTTGTGGGTTTTTGTTTGTCCACCCGGACCCAAAATGTCGATGTTTTGTTCCCCGAGCCACTTAGTTATCACTTTTGCCTTATGGCAAGGTGCTCCATCATGCTGGAAAAGGCATTGTTCGTCACCAAACTGTTCTTGGATGGTTGGGAGAAGTTGCTCTCGGAGGATGTGTTGGTACCATTCTTTATTCATGACTGTGTTCCTAGGCAAAATTGTGAGTGAGCCCACTCCCTTGGCTGAGAAGCAACCCCACACATGAATGGTCTCAGGATGCTTTACTGTTGGCATGACACAGGACTGATGGTAGCGCTCACCTTGTCTTCTCCAGACAAGCTTTTTTCCGGATGCCCCAAACAATCGGAAAGGGGATTCATCAGAGAAAATGACTTTACCTCAGTCCTCAGCAGTCCAATCCCTGTACCTTTTGCAGAATATCAGTCTGTCCCTGATGTTTTTCCTGGAGAGAAGTGGCTTCCTCGCTGCCCTTCTTGACACCAGGCCATCCAAAAGTCTTCGCCTCACTGTGCGTGCAGATGCACGCACAACTGCCTGCTGCCATTCCTGAGCAAGCTCTGCACTGGTGGCGCCCCGATCCTGCAGCTGAATCAACTTTAGGAGATGGTCCTGGCGCTTGCTGGACTTTCTTGGGCACCCTGAAGCCCTCTTCACAACAATTGAACCTCTCTCCTTGAAGTTCTTGAGGATCCGATAAATGGTTGATTTAGGTGCAATCTTACTAGCAGCAATATCCTTGCCTGTGAAGCCCTTTTTGTGCAAAGCAATGATGACGGCACGTGTTTCCTTGCAGGTAACCATGGTTAACAGAGGAAGAACAATGATTTCAAGCACCACCCTCCTTTTAAAGCTTCCAGTCTGTTATTTTAACTATTTTAATCAGCATGACAGAGTGATCTCCAGCCTTGTCCTCGTCAACACTCTCACCTGTGTTAACGATAGAATCACTGACATGATGTCATCTGGTCCTTTTGTGGCAGGGCTGAAATGTTTTTTTGGGATTAAGTTCATTTTCATGGCAAAGAGGGACTTTGCAATGAATTGCAATTCATCTGATCACTCTTCATTACATTCTGGAGTATATGCAAATTGCCATCATAAAAACTGAGGCAGCAGACTTTGTGAAAATTAATATTTGTGTCATTCTCAAAACTTTTGACCACGACTGTATAGTACAGTCATCTCACCACTGGCCTGTCACAACTACCCAGAAGTCAGAAGAAGGGACGGACACCTGCCCACAGAACAACCTGACAACAAGGACCTCACCAGAATTATACATTCACCTTTGACCCAGATTAACATAGCAGCTCCTCCACAGAAGAACAGCAGCAGTTTGTTATGTTGTTAACACACCTGGCTATTACACCAATTAGCATGGTTAGCATTAGTGTTTACGTTACTCGATACTCTACGTCTGTCATCTCAGCCGGCATTCAACGTGTAGCCACCTTTATATTTAAAAAAATACCACTACATCCCTGTAAGCAGAGACACAAAAACAGCACACCAACAGAAAGACTTTAGTAACACACATGCACAGTTTCTATTTTAACAGAGGTGTAGTTTTAAGGCTCTATTCAATCAGATCCGCATAGTGGTTGTTTTGGCGGAGTCGGAGGTGGAACTGTGTTAGAGTTGTCAAATCCACAAGCGGCTCCTGGCATTTTACCTAAAGCGGACATTACCATTGGCTGCATGGAGTCGCATTCACAGAAATCCTATGCAGCCTTGTTTACAAGTGGAATGTGAGATGTAATCTACACCTCAATTAGGATGATAGAAATCTTCATTATTTAGTTTAATGATTTTTCATTTTGAGCGTAATTATTTCTATATATCCTATACTTTCTCGTTCTGAACTTCCAACGCTTTGTGACAATGATCGCAAAAGAGCAGCTGCTCACAGATTTGATGCTGCCAAAACATCCCCTATGCTTGTGTCTGCTGTCTCCAGTTAACGCTTGATCTGATTGAATCTAGGCCTTAGAGTTTGTTTCACACAGTGACGTGAGGAGGGATGGATGGCTGCAAATTATGCAGTTGGACGAGCTGACAGGCACAGAAACTCATTAACAAACCAATCAGACACTTCAGTGAGTCAAATCAACTCATCAACATCGACCCCAACCCATGGTCGGAAAATTAAAAACGTTTGAATAATACAATATAATAAACACACACGCACACACCCGATATCATACACACACGCATGCACACACATACTGTACATTTACACAAACTATCCATTCAAATGCAAAAGCATGTACTGCAAAAATGCCAATATACTACTGCAGTCATGAATATGTTAAAGAGATGGTTCACCCCACAAACTATACATTTAGCTAATCTTATGGATACCTAGAAAGTAATCCATGTAAATTAGTAAAATGTGTGAAATATCCCTTTAACATGACAAGCCGGAATCCTTGATTGACCCTTCTTCAGTTCGGATTCTGTCCTTACAGAATATATATATTTTCTAACATAGTAACTATGGCACCTAGGCTGACTAAAGAACGTATCTTATCACCTAACTTGTATTCATGTCAGACCCGTAGCACTGAAGGTAGCAGCAATATGTACCTTTGATTAAACTCAGGATAGCTTTACAATAAACCTGGTCTCAGAGCATTTCGTATTATTCTGTATGTAAATCCGAGACACTCAATTTAGTATGATATGTTACGTTCCGTATGGTATGTATTCATTTGTGGATGTCCATCACCCATTTCGTATGATATGTTATGAATTACAATTCCTATTATATGTTACGAATTTGCAAAACGTACAATATGTTATGAATTTGCAAAATGTAAAATATGTTACGAATTTGCAAAACATATGATATGTTACGAACTCTAGCTAGCTGGCTAACATTAGCTAGGCTAGGGGTTAGGGTTGGGTGTTAGGGTTACGTTTAGGAGTAAGGTTAAAGGGTTAATGTTAGGGTTAGGGGAAGGGTTAGCTTAAAGGGTTAAGGTTAGGGGAAGGGTTAGCTAACATGCTAAGTAATTTAAAAGTAGCTAAAAAAATACATGAAAAGTTGCTAATTAGCTTAAATTGTCCGTAATGAGATTAAAACGTTTGTGTTATAAGCCCACCCATCTACCCCGATCAACCACCCTACTTTTGTTTTTGCCTTAAGTAACCATCTGTCTTATGTAACCATACCAAACGTAACATATCATACTAATTTGAGTGTCCCGGATTTACGTTTACTATGTTAGGTCTAGTCAATGAGACCAGGCTGTTACAATGGCTTTTTCATATATCATCAAGTTAAAATCCTCCTGCTTTCTGCTTAAACACATAGTTTAATGTTAAATCAACTCCCCAAACGAAATGCCTGGATATTCAGCAACAAATAACCTAAACACACATAAGCAGATGTAGGTTGAAAATATTACTTTTCTGTTCATGGATTTAAAGTAGGCCACACACCAAGATGGTGAAACTGACAAGCTAGCTCACAGGAGATTGCCTATATATCACAGACACACATACACCTGCACACACACACATACAAACACACACTAGAGCGTAGAAGAGAAGAACTACACACTAGAGCGAGCTGGCAGAGATTTCCAGCAGAGTTTCGTAAGAGAGAAAGGTTGGAGGGAATGAGGCACGACATTTGAGAAAGGCCATCGAGTTTTGTAGAGGGTAAGCTACAGTAAGCAGCATGGCAGAGAGAGATAGAGGGATGGAGAGAAAGAGAGAGAATCACAAACAGAAAGAAACAGAGAGAGCAAGGTATGCGCGAGAGAGAAATGGAAAGAGAGAGAGAATGAGAGAGGTAGGGAGAAAGGGAAAGACAAAGAAAGAGTTCAACAGAAACAAAGAAACAGAGAGAGGGGAAGAAGCTATCGCTAGCAGCTCAGAGGTTTCTTACAGAATAAATTCCTCTTGACAGAGACCCATAGCAACAGGGAACAAAGCCCTAAGCTGTCCCACAACACACACACACACAGTTTTCTTTAGAAATGTAGCTGCTGAATTTGCTTTAACTTTTGAAGACACTGATAGCTATTTCTTACTATGTATATTTTATTATGGCCATGTTATTCTTGCAATTGGAGCTGGGGTGCAAAAGGCTTGAACATACATCATGAACAACTGACTATTTTGGAAGGAGAAATCAAGCCCCACTCTGAAGTGTACTGGGACTTCTTGCCATTTTGGTTTGAAGTACAAGATAGCACAGCAGTGACACAACAAATAACATTATTACATTATTGATAGACAAATTAATAAATAAACAAACAAATAAATAAATGAATGCCCATATTTTACAGTAAAATCTCAACTCAAGACGAAGTACAGTCTGTGAGTGATTGGTGGTAAAGCCTTTTACACGTCGTGTGGCGCCTGTGTAGGGCAACCATTGGTATTTCTCTATGACTTTATTTGAACATGCTGTCATAAGGCCTACATAACACTGTCTTAAAACAAAGACTGTTCATGTCAGCTTATGACAACTGACTTTGTACTGTTATGGCATGTACTATTGTTTAGCTTAGCTAATTGGCTAAGCATGAAGCTGGCCAGATAGCATACTTGAATACCAGCCCAGATATGTAGTCCTTATGACAGCATGTTCAACAAAAGCCTAACCGGCACATGAGTGAAGGCTGCTGGGTAGTGTAGTTCTACATGAGGACATTGCCGCGTGTGTCAGGCAGCCGTAGCCCCACCAGTCCTCCTCCTACCAGTACAGCCGACGCCAGCAGGATGGGGATGGCCTTAGTAATGCCAACCAGAGAGCCGAAGATCAGGTTCCCCAGCACCGCTGCCAGCTTACACATGGCATTACAGAAGCCAAAGCCTGTACCCCTGGAGAGAAGAGAGGAGGAGAGGAGGAGAGGAGGAGAGGAGGAGAGGAGGAGAGGAGGAGATGAGGAGAGGAGGAGAGGAGGAGAGGAGAGAGTCAGGGTATGTGTGGCTGTGTGTGTGTGTGTGTGTGTGTGTGTGTGTGTGTGTGTGTGTGTGTGTGTGTGTGTGTGTGTGTGTGTGTGTGTGTGTGTTCTACCCACCTCCTGTCTGTAGGGTAGAGCTCAGCAGTGACTACATCCAGGGAGTTCCAGGCCGATATACTGAGGCCGTTATAGAGACACAGCATGAAGATCATCATAGACTCACTGGTACCAAACCACAGGAAGAAACAACTGATGCCTGACAGCACCATGGAGCCCCCTGGAGGACAAAATATGCTATTACACATCAGATCACAACACAACACGAGATATTTTTTTTTACATTTTTATGAAGTGTACTGGGACTTCTTGCCATTTTGGTTTGAAGTACAAGATAGCACAGCAGTGACACAACAAATAACATTATTACATTATTGATAGACAAATTAATAAATAAACAAACAAATAAATAAATGAATGCCCATATTTTACAGTAAAATCTCAACTCAAGACGAAGTACAGTCTGTGAGTGATTGGTGGTAAAGCCTTTTACACGTCGTGTGGCGCCTGTGTAGGGCAACCATTGGTATTTCTCTATGACTTTATTTGAACATGCTGTCATAAGGCCTACATAACACTGTCTTAAAACAAAGACTGTTCATGTCAGCTTATGACAACTGACTTTGTACTGTTATGGCATGTACTATTGTTTAGCTTAGCTAATTGAGATATATCATTTGATAACAGATTACAAATACATACTATTTCTGGTGCTGAATTTTTTATTTCCTTTCATAGCAATGTAAAACTCCAGTGGGGCAGTCATACAATTGAAACTCTGTCTGAGTTCCAAAGTCATACTCTGTATGAAGTAGAATTTCAAAAACGAGTACAATTTAAACAGTCCTACCCAGCATGCTCAGGCGCCCTATCTTGTCCATGAGGAGGGCGGAGACTATGTTGCCGGGCAACACGGCGAGCGTCCCCAGGAAATTGACAAAGTAGACCCAGTAGGCGCTGTAGTCGTCGTCAAAGGTCATCTGACAGCCCGTTTTGTTGTGATGGAATGAACTGTTGATCACCCTTGACCCCACCAGCTTAGAATCGTCAATATCTGGAGAGAAAGACATGTAGACAAAGATAATTAAATAAGTGGACTAATTTGACTCCTTTCTGTGCTTTTTGTCTGGCAGGTGAACTTTGTGCTGTGGTTGAACCTATTATCTAAGGCTGCTCAGTAGGCCTGTAACTCTTTATTAACTAAAGTTTGCCCCCTATCGTTCACAAATGGTATCACCCTGCCTCTTCGCCTCAGTAACTTCTCTTGATGAAGGGAAAGGCGAACAGGGGGTGGGAAGGGGGTCAAAAATATGGTCCGTCTGCAAAAACATCCCAGGTCTTTCAGGGATAACTCCCCCCTGATTGAAAAGCTATTAATACACATAAAAGAGACAGAGGCAGCAAACACTCTGCCCTCTCTTTACCTCTCTCTCTTCATCTCTCACTCCCTCTTTCTCTCTCCCCTTTCCCTCCATCCCCCTAGCAGTGTCACTGCTAGAGGCAGTAAGACTACATTTCCCATGTGGCTTTTGCACCAAGCTGACACGCCCAGATTGTTTTCATGTTCAGCTGTTTCCTATAGGCTGAGGGGGAACCGTTTCTAAACCTGTGTTAGCTGAACTGCACCGCAACTGTTTACAGTCCCCCCAATTCACTACTCCCTCAGAAACACTGTCTTTCCTGGAGGGGTCGTCTGGTTCAACCATTAGTCAGGTCCTCTTATAATTAAATTGTACGCCACCTGAACCTTACTTCATAAGAGCTACGTAACACAGTCATAACAATGATATAACATATGTCATAAACAGTATTATAAGATAGCGTTAACCAAGAACTGTGAGCGTTAACCAAGTGTACATTGAGATGACATTACAACGTGCATTGGTCTGTGTGAAGTCAAGACAAATTAGAAAGGATATCTTTCCTTCCCTCCCATTTACTTTAGAGCACAATATTTCAT